TGTCATGTATGTATGTCATGTGTGTATGTATGTATGTATGTCATGTAATGTAATGTAATGTAATGTATTGTAATGTAATGTAATGTAATGTAATGTATGTATGTATGTAATGCATGTATGTAATGCAATGCAATGCAATGCAATGCAATGCAATGCAATGCAATGCAATGCAATGCAATGCAATGTAACGCAATTCGATGGAATGTAATGTAATGTGTTGTAATGTAGTGTAATGTAATGTAATGTAATGAAATGTGATGAAATGTAACGTGCAACGCAATGCAATGTAGTGTGTGTAATGTATGTAACCTATGTAATGCATGTAATGTGTGACGTGTATGTACGCATAGTAAACACGTAATGCACAAAATGTATGTAATGTAATGTAACGTAACGTAACATCATGTAACGTAATGTTATGTAATGTACTGTAATGTAACCCAATTTTGTGCAATTGCAGTGGAAATGTAATGTAATGTAGTGTAGTGTAGCGTACTGTAATGTAGTGTAATGTAACGTAACGTAATGTAATGTATACACATATACATACATACATAAGGCAACACATGCACGGAGAAACACCACGGAAGCCATAAGTCTCAATCAGCGATGAGGTTTGTCGACTTCTGTTGAAGTTCACTGGGAATGCACTGAAACTGTAGTTTTGGGCCAACCCTCCCCCCCCCGGCCAAATGAATGCATGAAACAAGCTGCACATACAAATGGAATGTCTACAAAAATGTGTACGACCCACTGTTGATAGCCTTTCTTTGGAAACATGCGTGAATGGTTCTCCGGGGACAGGTATTTTTTCAATCTGAGACTCCAATTGAGGAAGGGATCTGCAGTGGTGCATCTGGTGGGATTTGATAGTGGCAGTGCTTGCTGGGTTTGGGTTTGGTTTTTGTTTGGGTTTCGGTCGGGATTTGATGAGTTTGGTGGGTTCGGTCGGGGTTGGGAAACTAGAAGTCAGCTTGGTTGGTGACCGGATTGCACCAAGCCTCCGGCATTTGCAGGCCACTGTAGCTGAGGTACAGGCTGGGTCAGCCGGGGGGGGGGAGCTGCCCATGTGTCTTGCCAACTCCAATGTGGACCTTTTGGCCCACGCCGATCTTTTTTTTTTTTTTCAGGGCGAACTGCGTTGGAATCCTTTTTACCAACAACATGTGTAGCTCCACTGGCGCTTCCTATGTTTCGCAGCTTTCCAGTTCAGATTTGACTTTAGGCGACCTGGTTTGATCTCGCGCAACGCGTTGGTTGGCTCCGATGGCTCGGTCGGCTCTTTGATGGCGCATAGTTTGTTGTCTTCGACATATGGGTGCGTGTCTTGTCAAGCGTGCCCATTTATGGTGGGGCGGGGGGGGGGGGGGTACATGGGAGCCGGGTTTCTATTTTAACACATATACAGTCGGCTCTCCATTCTGATGCCCTCGTTGTGTCAATCGTGTTCTCGCTCTGGTGGATATGTTCAAGGTTGATTTGTTGATTAGCAGCAATCGCTCGGGCTCGAGTGAAAGCCAGCGCTCTCAATTTGGAAGATCCGACCGCACCAATGTGCTGCCAATTTCATGGCCAGCTCACCTGTAAAGGGGGGGGAGCTAAAAACAGATGATGTAGATGTTAAATCGGAGTTGGGTTTTTCAGGTTATGGAATCATAGAATTCGCAGAAAGTTCTTGCTGGTGTTTCAACCATCGGCCTGTTCGCTTGCATGAGAGGGAAAGGCATCCTGAAGTAGCCCGGTTTTTCTCTTTTTGGTTCTTATATGTGCCAGTCAAGAGACCTGCTTACTTGGGGTTGGGAGGGATGGTTGTGGGCGCCGTGAAGGATTTTTAGACAAACAATCTAAGGGTTCCGGTTAAGAGCATCCTGACAAATGACCAGGAACATGGGCCATGTAAGGGTTCCGGTTGAGAACATCATGAGGAATGGGCCATTTGAGCCACAATCAAAACCCGGGTAGATGAAGGTTAGTAACATGGTTAGTAACCCGGGTAGATGTTAATTTTTCACATGGTTGTCGGGATCGACCCTTTAAATGCTGGGTTTTGAGCAAGTGACTCATTTGGGATCAGGGCACGGTCCAGGAAACAGGGATGCAGCTACGGTTTTTCCAGGCCGGAGCCACGTCTGGAGCCTTGACGAAGAAGGCTCTCAACCATCCGGGGGAGGGGGTCCCCGGGGTAAGCCGAGTTGGCTACTCCATCATTCTAGATAGCGGTTTGGATCTGGCTATTGTGGATTCACTACTGTAGAACATTAAAAGAGTACTTACAAAAATACTAACAAACAATCCCAACGGGGGGGAGAAACCAAGAAAATCCACAACAAGCGCATGTAAACTGTTTCTAGAATCATACTGATTTGATTTCAGCACGTTTGGATCGAAGGGATCCGATACGGGACATGCAGCTTTCCGGGCCAAAGCAAGCCTTGCTCCAAGGAAGCTGGGCTTTGGAAGGCCTGAAATTTGAGCACATAGGTGTCAATTTTGGTTGTTTTGGTGGAAGAACAGATGGCCCTGGTTTGCCTGGTGGTGCAATCATCTACCAGGGCCATCGATTTTCAACCAAGAAGGACACCTATGTTTGAGGGTTGCCTGTCCACAATCGGTTTCTGTCAGGAGGGTCAGTTCCAAAGAACACATGGATGTCAATTCATGACATCCTATGTTTCCCTGCCAAAGGGTTCAGGTGAATAATCTCCAATTGGTGGTTTGGATTGGGGGGACTTGGCCCCCCAAAAAAAAAGAAAAGAAAAGGCAGACCCAAAAATGACAGTCCCTTCCGTGGGCTGCCAGGGCTCCCTCTCGTTGCTGCCGGAGCTCAGCGATTCCCCGCTGAAGGCGGGGGTTGAGTTTGGCAGTGAGTGGCTGGTCTCCCTTTTTGTTCATGGAGTTACCCTTTTTCTTTGGCGTTTTAACCGGGAAAACAAAAAGAACCTTTTTGGGGGTCCACCCAAGAACATTGACGCACGCACAATGTGGATCCTTCCATCCCTTATTTTGTTCCAAGTATGGTTTGCCAGTGGTTTACCTGCCAAATTCCCATCGCCGCATGCCTGTGTGAAGGAATTTCACATCACTTACTACTTGAGGAGCGTGGAACGCCACTGTTTTTTCATTTCGCGCATATCATTTGAGAGCGCCTCCTTGGTTGTTCTCTCTGAAGCACTCATGTTGGAGATGTGGGGATGTCATGGCTTCAAAGACGCTGCAGTTCCAGGCGGGCCAGCATGGAACAATCTCAAAGCAGGGCCCATTGCCCGAACAACCTCCCACACGCATACAAACATCATGGATGGATCCTCAAGTGGAGGATGCTATGTTTTCTGGTATTGGCATGGGCTTGAAAGGCAACTGGGTCTGACGATGCAGTGAGGGCGCTTCGGAAATGTTCAGTAGTTTTGCTTGATTTGTTTCTTCTGCAATTTGCACGGAATTGTTTTTTTGGCCTGGTTGCCGAGCCCAGCCTTTTCATTTCACCATCGAGGTTCTGCACGGGCCTCATCAAACCAGGGAACTTACTCAGACCACGGTTCCGGCACCAACCCCCTCTTCCTCATCGGCTGTAAAAGAATCTCTGCACAGTCCTGACAAGCGAAGAAGGTCATACGCGGTTTATCAAAAGGTCCGTTACATGGGATGACCATCAGGGAAACCACCAGAAAGATTCGATATTCCCCACATGGAAAAAGTTGCCCACGGTTAAAACTGGGGGGCCGGGGAATATTGATCAACTGTCCGGGGAATATTGATCAACCCGTATCCCTTCGACAGCCAAACGCCACGTTTGCACTCCGTGCGCCACCGGCTCGGTTTCAACCGGAACAAAGCAGGCCGAGATGAAAGAGGAGGTCGTTGAGGCTAGCCAGCGGGCGTTGGTGAACGGTGCATTTGCTTAGCTTAAGGGGCAACACATGGGTATGGGTCAAAATCAGGGGAACGCAGGTTCTATTCCATGATTTTGGGTGCTTAATTTTGACCCAGACCCGCATCATTCATCGCTTACTCCTTGCTTGTTGACTGATTCTTTGTGTTTTTCGTAGACCCCAATGCAGTGCTGTGCCCTAGACACAAACGGAGTAGGCCTTAGGCCTATTTGGGCGTCTATCGGGAGAGCAAGTTGATCCGTTATCCTAGAATCAAGGCCTTGCTTGCTGGCCCTCGTTTGGAACTCGTGCGCTTTAGGATAGAACCCCACGAAGTCAGGCAGTGTCCTGCTTTGGGATGTCGGGCCTGGGCATCATAGGTTCTGCTATTGCGCTTGGGGAAAGCTTGAATGCAGGGTTGTCGTTGGGAAACATTTTACATTTTTGCTTTTTGTGGTTTAGTGGTTGAAATCCCCACTTACCAGCTAAAATTGATACATATATATATATATATATTTGCTCCCCTTCCAACGTCGACTAAGGTATGTGTGCACACATGCATTTGCATGTGTGTGTGTCTACGCATGCAGCTTTTTCTGGTTTTGTGGCCGCGAGGCGCTGAGAGTTGGTTTATTTTGGAGTGAAGCATGGCATCAGGATTTCGGTCAAGAGACCCATGAGGACACATATATTCATGGAGACCTAGCGCGCCCCGGAGTTTTTGGTTTCAACTGATCACCAACAAGCAGGCATACCGAGAATTCAGGTAACCCTGAGTTGGTAGTGTGACTTGGTGGTTCGGATTTGGACTGGAACTTTTGGCTCTTGTAGAGGGTAAATGGAACCCCCTCGTTAATCACCAATCCACCAATCCGAACCACCAATTAGAGGGAAGCTGATGAGTGCCCGAATCAGCCATGGGAGATCCAACTATCCCAAGCGCCTCTTTCCTGCGATGGGCGAGCATCGGATTTCAAAAGGAAATCGAAAGCGAGATCATAGAGTCCCAAGCAAACTTGGATAGCACCTCCTTTTTCAGTGGGAGGGTCTACAAGACTAACCTCAAGTATCAACGAAAAGGATATCTTTGCCAGTTCAACATTTGTTTGCTTGCCTTTTAGAACTCTTAGTCCGGCATCAATGGTTTACAATGGGCCGATTTGAGGCCCTGGCTGGCCAGATGACCCATTGTGAAGGTGCCAAATTTGGGTTGGTTGGTAACCAGACAGCGTCCAGGTCAACTCCGGGTTAGCCAAACAAACTCCTGACAGGAGGTCCCGAAGCAGAGGCGCAGGTCTCGGAAGGCCCCTGCGGGGGGTGGGGCTTGGTGGGCGCCAATTTTTCGTATTTTTCGGCTTGCGACCTTTTGGCTTGCAGGATGTGTGCTGAAACCCTGCTTGACCGGCATCGGCCACATGGTGTTTCTGGTCAGAACGACTCGGGACCTGGTGCTGGCGTTTTCAGTTGGGGAGTTGAGTGACGCGGGCCTTTTGGGGTTGGCAGGGATGGTCATCAGGGGCGAAATTTATGACGAGCTCGCTTGAGGGTAAAGTCGGCTTACCAAGGATAAGCTTGGTGATAAGTCTCATACTGGTTTTTGTTTGTTTGTTTTCCGTTTTCGAGTTTCAACTATTTAGTTGTTTGACGAATCAGGGAACTAGCGAGCTTGCTTGCTTTCTGCCTCTCTGGCTACCTGGCAAATTGCTCCTTGTTGCATCGGCAATCAGCAATCATGTGCATTGAAGGAAGACTTCCTGGCCGGCTGTACTAGTATTGCCCAGATGGTTTGGACCCTGCCCCCGCCTTTGAACCTGGGTGTCCGGCGTCCCCCACGTCCCACGGCCTGGCTTCTGATTCGATTGGAAAGGTGAGGGATGCCGCGTCCAAGACCATGGAGAATGGACAGGCCGGCCGGGCAACTCACGTAATAACTCCGTTGGAGGTCAGCCAGCCTTTGCGATGTTGTTGTCCGTGCCGCGCAGAGTCATTTGTTTATCGAATTTAAACATGCAAGTTGTATGTTTGTTTGTTTTTTCAGAGACAGTTTTATCAGAGTGAGTTGCGTCCAGTGCGCACATCCTTCTATGGAGCAGGGATGAGCGCAGCAGGCTGTGACGAAAACCGCCTGCTGCCAGGTGCGGCGGTCGCGTTCCAAGAAGGCGCGCGCTGCAGTGGCTGATCCCAAATAACCCTTCCTCGAGGAATTCGACTTAATCACATCCCAGGCCTTCAAAGCATCACTTTGCCGGGTCTGTTTGGTTTTCAAGGAGACTGAAATCCATTGGTCCACTCAGGGTTTCCTTTTCCCTTTTCGCAAGCAGTCGTGGACACCAGTAAATTGATCAATTGTCGTTTGGCTGTGGCGTGAAAGATGAGGGGAAACTCCCCAGCATGGCTAGGACTCGAACACCTGCGGTCTGGTTTCTTTAATTTTGACTCATACCCATAGCGGAACTCCACACATTGTGGTTTTCCTCATGGTGTTTCCCGAAAAAGGGGGTACCAGCTCCACGTCTTCCATTTGCTTAAGACTATCTTGTATTTTCCCCTGTGGTTCTAAGGGGAATCGATCACTACTAAACATATTTTCTCACATTTTTCTCCGGACACCTAACCCATACCCAAAAAATTGAGCCATTTGGGTGTGGCTCAAAATTAAACAGCCAGGGTTACGCAGGTGTTGGTCCATGTTTCCACTTCCCAACCCATTTTGGTTCCGGTTGTTTGAGCAGCCATTGTTGCCCTTCTCATAGACCCATACCCAAGTTTGAGCCATTTTTATACCCAAGAAATCGAGCCATTTTTGCCCTTCTCATATTTTTCTCGTTTTTCCGCAATTAGATAGTGGTGTCATTTTTCTGACCCATACCCAACTTTGAACCTCACTGCCAGGAACCAAAGCCGGTGCTGCAGGAGGCGGCTCCTCGGACATACGGATGGGTGGTATGGCCCCCCCCCCAAGAAAGGAACGGAACCAGCCGCAGGGGTGGTGAAATTTTGACCTATCCGCACTTTTTGGTGGACATGCACACCGTGCACACCCACTTTTGAGGCGGTTCCCATTTTTCTTATATGAACACCTGACCCACTTTTGAGGTGGTTCCCATTTCATATAGTCATGTAAATACCCGAATGGGCGGTGAATGAATCAGGTAAGCCTCTGCTTGGTGGTTTGGATGTTTGGATTTTGCAAGCCCTGGCTTTTGTAGAATTGGGAAACCCCTCGACCACCAAACCACCAATCCAAACCATTGGAGGGAAGCTGTGGCTTTGACATAGGGATTTTGTGGTGGGTATTTGGGTGGAGATTTATGATTCATGTTCACTTTTCTTTTGAGGGTGATTCCTGCCATATGAGTGTTTCTCAGAGTGGTGGAAATTCTATTGACATGCCCATGTTTCAAAGCCACGAGGCCCAGATGGTTGATCTCCAGGCAGCTTCCATGACCCAACTCGTTTTGGCGCAGCTAGAAGCAAATGGCCAAAGAGCGGTGTCGGGCATTTGTGTTTTGAGCAGCCAGGGAAACCCAAAGGAGGACGTTTCAATAGGCGTCCAATTGATTCGACCTTTTGAGCCGGACGCACCGAGCCAGTTTTTATCCACTAGATAGTGTTGGGCAATCTTTGTTTC